GGATACAAAATTAACACCTATAAACAAACTGTGTTCCTATACATCAACCGAAAGAGAAATTAGGAAAACTATTCTACTCACAATAGCCTCAAAAAATGTATATTTGGGAATCAATCTAACAAAAGAGGTGAAAGATCTCTACAATGAAAACTACAGAAAATTAAACAAAGAAATTGAAGAAGACTTTAGAAGATGGAAAGATCTCCCATGCTCTTGGATAGGAAGAATTAATATTGTCATAATGGTCATACTACCCAAAGCACTTACAGATTCAATGCGATTCAAATTAAAATCCCATCGTCATTCATTATGGAAACAGAAAAAGCAATCATGTAATTCATTTGGAAAAATGAGAGACCCAGAATAGCCAGAGCAATCCTTAGCAAGAAGAGTGAAGTAGGAGGCCTCACAATACGAGACCCTTAAACAGAGCTACAGTAATACTACAGAGCTATAGTAATAAAAATGGCATGGTATTGGTGCCAAAATAGACATGTAGACCAATGGTACAGAACAGAAGAAACAGAGACAAACCCACATAAATAGTTACCTCATACTAGACAAAAGCATACATTGGAGAAAAGATAGCCTAGTCAACAAATGGCACTGGGAAAACTAGAAGTCCATTTGTAGCAAGATGAAATTAAACTCCAGTCACCCTGCACAAAAATCAACTCAAAGTGATCAAAAACTTAGGCACTAGAAAAGAGGCCCTGTGCCTAACAAAAGAAAAAGTATCCCACTCTTTGGTATATACCCAAAGGACTTAAAGTCAGCATAGTACAGTGACGTAGCCAAATCTTCATCATGTCAGCTAAGGACCAGAATTCCTTAACAAGACTCCTAAAGAGCAAGAAGTAAGATCAAGAATCAACAAATGGGATGGTTTTAAACTAAAAAGATTTTTCACAGCAAAGGAAACAATCAAGAACATGAAGAGGAGGCAAATAGAATGGGATAAAATTTTTGCCACCTGCACCTCAGATAGAGCATTAATCTCCAGGATATACAAAGAACTCAAAAACTTAACACCAAAAAAAAAAACAAATAACCCAATCAATAAATAGGCACTTCACAGAAGAAGAAATACAATCAGTCAATAAATATATAAAAAATGTTCAGGGGCTGGGAAGAGAGCTCAGTTGGTAAAGTGTTTGCCTTGCATGCACAAGGCCCTGGGTTCAGTTCCCAACACCACAAAAAATAAAATAAAAGTTTAAAAAAAAAAAGGTAAATGACACAAAATGAAATTTAAAAACAAAATGTTCAAAACTCTAGCAATTAGAGAAATGCATCTAATGAGATTCCAGTCAGATTGGCAATTATCAAGAATACAAGTAATAATAAATGTTGGTGAGGATGTGGGGGAAAATGTACCCTCATGCATTGCTTATGGGACTGCAAATTGGTGCAACCACTCTGGAAAGCAGTATGGAGATTCCTCAGACAACTTGGAATGAAACCATCATTTGAGCCAGTTATCCCATTCCTTGGTATACACCCAAAGGAATTTAAATCAGCATTCTAACTACAGTGACGTAACACCCTAGCACTTCAACTCACAATACCCACACTATGGAACCAACTTAGAAGCCCTTAAAYATGAATGGATAAAGAAAATGTTGTGGGGCTGGGGATGTGGCTCAAGCGGTAGCGCGCTCGTCTGGCATGCGTGCGGCCCGGTTGGATCCTTAGCACCACATACCAACAAAGATGTTGTGTCCGCCGAGAACTAGAAAATAAATATTAAAAAAAATTTCTCTCTCTCTCTCTCTCTCTCTCTCTCTCTCCTCTCTCACTCTCTCTTTAAAAAAAAAAAGAAAATGTTGTATAAATACAGAATGGAATATTCATCACCTGTAAACAATGAAATTATTATATTCTTCAGTAAATGGACAGAACTGGAGAGTATCATGCTAAGTGAAATAAGCCAATCCCAAAAAACCAAAGGCTGAATGTCCTCTCTGATATATGGATGCTAACACATAATAGGAGTGGGGAAGGGAAGAATAGAAGCTCATTGGTTTAGACAAAGGAGAATGAAGGCAATGAGATGGAAATAGGAAAAACAGTAGAATGAGTCGGATATAACTTTCCTATGTTCATATATGAATACACAACTAGTGTAACTCCACACCATGTACAACCACAAGAATGGGAAGTTATACTCCATGTATGTATGATATGCCAAAATATACTTTACTGTCATGTAGGTCTAAAAAGAACAACAACAACAACCTCCCCCCCAAAAGGTATAATGTTGAACACACTGAACCACACAGGCTCCTCCCATATCTGGAGGGTCTAATTATCCCTCCCTCAGGAAAGGATAGAAATTGGCCCTTAGACAAGCAATTAGGCAGAGAAAGGTACCATGACCATCCCCTCCTGCATTACTATTGAGAGTCAAAAGGGAGTGGGGGGGGGGGAGAATAAGAAAAAGAAAACCAAGGTCTGTGCATAAATGAACATTCATTAAAAACACTAATTTCAGAGCACCCTATTGTTATTCTGTATTCCCACTATTTTATTCATTCTTTCATTTTTTTCATTTGGCTTAAAAAAAMTTTCCCCCACCAGAAGCCACAACTAAAAATAAGTCTGTTGCCAATTACATTAAGCACATCTCATGCCTAAAGATAGTTTATAAGGTCAATTAGATCAACCTAAGGCAGACAGATTGAAACCATAGAGCAAAGGGCTTACAGGACATGCCTTTTATTTTTATTTTTTCATTTGAATTACAGGAAAACCAGAAAAGAGCCAGGATAAAGGGTGAGGTCTAGGTAGACTGCAACAGCCATAAACCTAGGGCATGAGAAAAACTGAGACACCTGGGATTGAAGGGCTCAAGGACAGGGTTGTAGACCAGGTCAGCAGGAGGCTGATGTCAAAAACATTGCCCACCTCACAGTTTGTCCCAGAGTCAGCCCAGAAACTGCCTCCAAACAATTCACTGGAATAGTCCAGTCTACCCTGTGCATTTTCCGAGAAGTCCTACTCAAAGGTGATGTGACGCAGAGGTTTAGTGGCCTCTTCAAGGCCTCTTGTGATCTATAGGCTCTCATGCTTGACAGTTCTATTGAGGTCTTCCAAGAGAGAAAAGGTAATTGGACAATTGAGTGGATACTGATTTTATTCAGTGCACATCACAGTGGCTCTTGACAAGATCATGTTTACTCACAGCTAAATTAATCATCATGGCTCAACTTTCCAATCTTCAGGTGACAGGACAGGGTTCATAAGGCCAACCTGCTGCAATATATGCCTGGGCTATGTATGTCGATGCAGTATACAAAGCAACATAGTTCTCCATAACAATTCCTTGCAGATATTCAGCAAACCATTTTTTTTTAATTTTTACTTTTTTTAAGTTTGGTTCATAAAAATATTGGCAAAAAAGATTAAAACATTAGTAAGAGTGTACTTTTTATCCACAAAAAAATGGTCAATGTTGTATGTATGTATGTTGATAATATACAAAGAAGGCAAAGGTGCAAAGAAATGAACACTTTCTTATGCCACTGACACAAATGTAAATTAAAACAAGCAAAAGGGGAATCTGGCAATATCCTATCAATTCTTATAAAATGGTTTATGATCTTTGACCAAGTACTGCTGTGCCTTAGAAAATAATCATGGATCAGGCAAAAATAATCTAGCTATGAAAATATTTATTATTATATTGCATGCAAAACAGGGAAAAATAATAAAGACAATCTAAACATCAACCAGAGGGCATCGTTTAAACGGGCTATGATATGTTCCCATTATGGAATACTGTGCTACAGTAATGACAATAATGACGCAGCAATGACAACAACACAACAACAACGGCAGCTACTAATGGAGGGTTTACTTTGTGACAACATTACTGTAAGGACTGTACATGTATTGAGCTATTTGATCTCCAACACAATTCTATGAGACAAGAATTAACTATTATGATTCTCATTTATAGATTAAAAAAAAAAACAGAGGTTGGGGTAGATGTTGAACCAGAGTGGCATTATGTAATTTGCCTCAGGCCTCAAAGCTAATAAAAGGCATGTCCTGAATCAAACACATTTAGCTCCAAAGTCTGTGCTCTTGGACACTCTGGTGTCAGTCAAGAATATTTAATGATGTGAGGAATTTTTTTATTGTATTGTTAAGTAAAAGAAAGTAAGTCACAAAACAGAAAAGAAGGGAGGGATAAAGGCAGGAAAGTAGGGAGAGAAGGAGGAAGGGAAAGAGGAAGGAAAAAAAGACACAAAATACCTGAAAGACCATAATACTAACTATGAACATTTTGGTATAACTGCTATTTTCTGGTGTATTGATCTATATTTCCCAAATTTATTCAATATAGTATGTTGATAACCACACAGCACTGATTTATACAACAAATCTAAGCAGTCATTTCATAAATTTTTCAATAGCAAGCACATTTACTCCTTACTATATACCAAGACTTATTTTAAATTCACTTAATCTTATAACACAATGTACCCAGAAGCCTAGCAACATAACATGACTTTCCACTGCAAATTTCACAGGACAGACAATATCCCCTATTTTACCTGGACTCTTCGTAGATGAGCCACACGCTCCTCTATAGAAGTCTGCAAGGCCAAAGGGACTTTGAGAATCTCTTGGTAATTGTCCATCAGAAACGTCACCAACCTAGCAGCCAATAACTCATCCAAGTCTACTTCATCCTTGGAACACAAGATGCAACGGGAAAATGTCTGAACCATCTRAAGGTGGGGGAGGGGTAAGAAAACACAGATGAGCTGGTTCTTTTGTCCTCTGAACTAAGTGCATCTAGTTTGCAAAAAGAAGAGTGASCTCTCACCAGGTAGCTGGCCATAGGTGCTGACTGTCTCAAAAGCAGTAAAAACAAGTCTATATCTCCTGTTTAAAAGACATGGTAGAGGAATGTATGTCCAAGTAATTTCTGAAAATTACTATCACCATGACTTGGATCATATAGCACTTATTTTTATTGGTGCATACTAGCTATGTAGAATGGGGTTTTATTGTGAATATTGTRACATATTCGTATATAAATAAAAACACTTTGAATTTCAAAGTACTTTATAGTCATTTAGTCACTTAATATCCTAATATAACTCTTGATTTTTTTAAGAGACAGAGAGACAAGAGAGAGAATTTTTTAATATTTATTTTTTAGTTTTCGGTGACACAACGTCTTTATTTATTTTTATGTGGTGCTGAGGATCGAACCCAGCGCCCCGCGCATGCCAGGCGAGTGTGTTACCACTTGAGCCACCTCCCCAGCGCACTCCTGATTTTTTTAAAGCAAAAATTTTATAAATGTTTATTATTTCATTATTGATTTTGTTTTAAAACTTGGTAACAGTGTGCCTCAATCATTACATCTTCTCCTAGTTAACTTATTTCCTCTAGGATTTTGTTTGTACATTTGATAATCGCCTTTGAACAAACTTATGGGACTTTAAAAGAAGTACATTAAGTGATGAAATTCTCTTTATAGTAACCAGAAATATAAAATATATACTTTCACAGAATTTATACTAATGACTCAATTCTCAATATCATCCTTCACTAGAGAGGATAATAAATGTATTGCTAACAATTTTATTTCAAAATCATAATTCTGTTGAATAAGACTTGATTTCCTCAACATACTGCAAATGATACCTTATCTTCACTTATATTTATGGATACAAAGAGACACATAGATGGAGATTTTTTTTTTAACATGGAAACCATGGATCACAGGGGATTTGTGAATGCCCTCAAACTATATGGAAATTTTTACACATACATTCTTATAGTGAATAGATGCAAAGTTTTCTTCAACTTTTCACAAAGGCCCATCAGCCCCTCCCCACCAAAAAAAAAAAAGAGGTCAAGAATCATTCCATAAATCAGACATGGTGGAGCATGCCAATAATCCCAGCCACTTAGGAGGTTGAGGCAGGTTATTCACAAGTTTGAGGCCAGCCTTAGCAACTTAGCAAAACCCTATCTTTTTTTTTTTTAAAGAGAGAGTGAGAGAGGGAGAGAGAGAGAGAGAATTTTTAATATTTATTTTTTAGTTTTCGGCAGACACAACATCATTGTTTGTATGTGGTGCTGAGGATCGAACCAGGGCCGCACGCATGCCAGGCGAGCGCACTACCGCTTGAGCCACATCCCCAGCCCAAAACCCTATCTTGAAATTAAAAAAAAAAAAAAAAGAAAAAGAAAAGGACTGGGGAATATAGCTCAGTGGTAAAGTGACCCTGGATTTAATCCCCAGGATTTWAAAAAAAAAAAATCACTGCACAGAGCATTGAGTGTTCTTCTGATCTTATCCCATCCATACTTCTCTGAAGCTAGGCCAGGGATCCCCAAGAAGGGTAGTGGTTACTGGGATACGGAAAGGACATTCAATCCACTGAAGCACCACTTGTGCTCCAGGAATATTTTTGAGGAAAATAAAGCGATTTTTATTAGTAAATTCTAAACGTAAACTAAAAACATGCTGATAGGAGAGTATAAAAGGGGGTTACTAGAGGTTGCAAGAGAGGAAGGGGAAAGGGGAGATGCTCATTAGAGAATATGAAGTTCTTCCAGAAATTGTAAGTTTTAGATATCTATTCCACAGTATGGTGATCACAGTTAATGATAACAATAATAACGTGCTATGTATTTCAAAATTGCTAGAAGAATAATTTTTAAACATCTCACTACAAAAAAAAATAAGTTGGTGGGGTGATGGACATGTTAATTAGCTTGAATTAATCTTTCTACTATGTGTGTGTGTGTGTGTATACGTATATATATAAACATCACATCATATCTCGTAAKTATATACAATTATTTGTCAAATAAAAATAAATTAGTGTAAAAAATAAATTAGTGTTGATATTACATAGTAGGATTCAAAATTAGTAGGTGTTTTTAAGCAAAACTGAAAAATATTACCACTCATAGACCGTTAGACCAAACCAAGRGATACATGATCTCTCTCCTCCCAGGTTGTCTAGTCAAACTGTAGAATTTATTTCCTCGCTTTTTGATTTATTGTATATAGTGCATCTCTCTTACTGGTTATAATAACAAAGGCGTTGCAATGCTTACTTCCATGGAGTTAGAAAAAATGTTGTTTGCCTGATAAATCACTTACTCTTTTTATCCACCCTTTGTTCTTTTTGTGTTGACAGTAGATACCAACTTAAACAAGGGTCCAACAGGATGCAGCAGATATCTCCGCACTCAGCATCTGTTCAATACTCACCCTTTGCTTTCCGCAAGGTTCTTTAAGACCCTTAGACCAGAAGCACACCACCAGTCTGAGTGGATGGCTGGCATGACTTTTTTTTTTTTTAAGATTTTTTTAAAGATGGAACATATATCTTTATTTTATTTATTTTTTTAATGTGGTGCTGAGGATCGAACCCAGGGCCTCACATGTTCGAGGCAAGCGCTTTACAGCTGAGCTATAACCCCAACCCCATGGCATGACTCTTAAGCAGGCTGCCTCACACCTTCCGCTGATGGATTTGACTAGTAAACTGGACTCAGTTGAATTTCATTCCAAAACCTCAAGGACCTTAGATACTAATAATCAACCTACCAGTGTCCGGGTCCCAAGGCCTTCACACAGCGGCGGCATCTCTTTGTTTAAGCAGATTCTCACCATCATCCTCATCAACAGCTGCAGCTTTCTCCTGTTTTCAGGAGGCAGGAGGAGGCAACAAATCTGAAAGGCTTCAACTGCCATTTTCTCTTTCTGTAACAAACCTGATTCAAAAAAGTTTTATCTTTCAAAATCTATAGCCTCCTTGACTCTGTACTTTCACATTAAAAAAAAAAAATTATATTACTAAAAAGTGTATCAAGTCTTTTCACATATTCAACTGTACCTGGCCAAATGAATATAGATCCATCGTTACTCACAAATCAGCACAAAAAATATGATCCATCAACCAGAGATAAAATGTAGAACAAACACAGCTATTTCTTCCTCCCACCAGACAGATATCAAAGTTCACAGCTCTCTTTCCCACTGAAACACAAGCAGTTCAAATTACACTCACCTAACCCTAGACACTCACACTGTTAATACGTCCAGGATTGCACCAGTAAGAACATGAATRCACCATTGCTGACCCGAATTCTCCCCACGAGTTGTTTCCACACAATCAGCAAGGTCACCATCTTGCATGACTCACATACTAATTAATAGGACCAAAGCTCTCACTGCCGGTCGGTTGTCAAATGACTCTGCTTCTTCTTAATAGAATCTGTCAAATAATCCTTCCACTTAGGCTCACTCTAGACTTAAATATGCTGATTAAATCATGTTATATGCCATCCATCCTTGTTTCAGGAATGATTTTGTTAAAAATTAACGTATTCTAATATTGGGCTTTTTTCAACCATATTTGTCCCTGAACACTCAAATCCAAGCCCTCTAATGAAGTGAAACTGCTTCCACCAAGTTATTTATTATATATGCATCCTTTTCAACTTCTAACTAATCTTTGAATTGGAGGCAAAACCATCTTTAACACTGAATAAATATTTACTAGTCATCTGTGATACACCAGGAACTGTGACAGTCCTGGAAATACAAAGATATCCCTGGTCCTTTCCTTTAAAGAGCTGAGGAGAGACCTGTAAGCAAGTAACAAAAATGTGAGAGGTGCTGCATGAACCGTTGCTAGTGACATACTAGGAGATTTTAAGTCACTCGCATGACTGCAGCATAGGCTGGGGGTGGGGGGTGGAGGGTTTGGTAGAAGTTAAGCTAGAAAGGTTGGCAGAAATGAAGTCTTAGAAGACCTTAAATACCAGACCAAGGAGCTTGGGTTCCAACCCAAAGGCAATGGATGTGTATGGAGAGAAAGGGAAAACAGAAGAGCAAGCTTGTCCCCACCCCTCTGTGGTGCTGGGGATCAAACCCGAGGCCATGGCTCATGCTAGGCAAGAACTCTACTGAGCTACATCCCCAGTCCCAGACCTTTATACACAGGTTCTGATTCTAGATGTACACATGTAGAACTGCTCTCGATTCTACCTAATCAAGTCCATGGAAGGAAAAAGGCTTCTGCCTTTTTATTTTAATAGACTCATTTATCTAATAAATATTTATTAAGCCAGTTTATATTCCAGAAACTATTTTAAGAGACAAGCAGTGAGGAATAAAACAAAATCCCTGTGTGGATCCCTGGAGCTTGCTTTCCAACAGAGAGTAGAACAGATCTGGAAAGGTGATGTCAGGTAGAAAGATGCTATGRAGAAAAAATAAAATAAAGCAGGAAAGGAGCTGGGGAATAAGGGATGAGCTCAGAAAAACACTTCCAACATTTCAGGGAAGACTTCTCTCTAAGGAAGTGACATATGAGCAGATACCTGAAGGAAATGAGAGCAAGCCATGGAAACACTGGAGAAACAAACTTCAAGGGCAAAGAAAGAGCAATTACAAAGATGTGGCATGGGAGTACGGCCATAGAGTGTTCAAGGAGCAGAACGAGGAAGAGTGACAGAGGAGTGCGAGGAGAGGACTCCTAATTCCCTGCTCCACTAAAACCCTCATCCTCCCAAGGCCAGGCCCCTACCTCTGGCAGTAGAGGAGCCACCATCAGTAACTTGAATGGAAAAGCCCCAGCTGCCCAATACTGGATGATTATATGGGAGGAGGAAGAAGTGCTTATCCCCCCAATTAAAAGCATGAGATTCCCAACACCTTCCGCTGGAATGTGGCATACACTTTTACCAGAGAAAAACTCACTGTGAATACTAGTTAGGTCTATAACACTATTAGATTTGAACCATAGTTAAGCTACATGATGAATTAAGTAGGTCTCATGAGTTGGTCTTACAATTTAACCATCATTTATAGCTTTGCTTGATGGAGTAGTGCTGACAGAGGGGAAAAATAGAATGTGTGTTCAGAGCTACCTACTTGGAAAGGTTTAAGGAAAAGGTTTAAGACAAAACCTATTATTTCAATATAACTTATGAAATTTAAAAGTCAATTCATTTCTTCATTCTAAAAGGTATAAAACTTATACTTTCAGCACCTCTTCCCTGGTTGATTTTTTTTAACCTCTTAATACTCTACAGAATTTACTATTATTATTACCATTCTCTTCCCCCCTGCTGCATTGGAATGAAAGCTCACAATGAGAAGGATATCATTGTCAGTTTTATTTCTATTGACATACCTCCAGCAGCTAGAAGAATGCCTGATATGTCATAGAAACCAATAAATAAATTTTTGTGAATGAATGAATGAATGAGCATATGAATGAAGGCATAAAAATTACTCACCCTTGTTGAGATTTGAATAAGAATAGTGGGTTGAGTAAGCCTCATTATGAATCCTTGAACAAGTCACTTAACCTCCAGGAATCAGTAAAATGTTGAGAACAGTCATAAAAAAATAAATTTACTGCACTGCAGTCCATGGGCTATAAAGAGGAGCCCAGGTAAATTAAAAACTTCAATAAATTTGATCATAGCCATTACTACATTAAAGTTTATATTAAAATTAACCTCAGAGGGAAATATGACATTAATCAGATACAACTTTTAAATCTGGTTAAGAAATGTACTGTGCACTGATATTCAGGAACAAATTTCACTCTGATCCTCTGTAATGAGAAAGCAAGTAAAATTCTGAAATATCCCAAATAGCTATATCATTGAATAATAAATCATTTATGTCTGCCCTACTGAACCCTAATTGCTTAAACAGTTGCATAACCATATTAAGTAGTATGAAAGAAAATATAAACCTATGCAAACATCACCCCATAAAATACTTTTATAAAATTCACCATGTATAACTCAGTCTCTGTCAACARTTAGTACTCTATGGGTCACTGTGTGTCTGGATGATTTTTATTATTGCATTATTATTATGTAACAAAAGATATTCCTGACTCCCTGGTATTAGAAGGTCCTATAACAACTCAAATGTCCTTGCCTTTTTAGTGAAAGAATGTGGATACCTTCATCAGCATCAGTGAGAGAACTATCAAAGCAGTGGACAGCCATTTGATGATTGGCTGGGGATGTRGCTCAGTGGTCAAGTGCTCCTGAATTCAATCCTCAGTGCCAAAAGGAAGAAAGGAAGGGAGGGAGGAAGGAAAGGAGGAAGACAAGTGAACTTTTAAAAGAGATTGTGTATTACTATGCTTATAGCAGAGTCACACACTGAAGTATTAAATTAATTAGCTGTTATCATTATTCTAAAAGTTATACTAACAAAAACTACTGCTTTGGCAGCTTCCATTAAAGACACATATGTGATATTTAAAAACTTTTCACTTGCTAACTGATAAAATAACCTCTCGGCAGAAAATGAGATTTTAAGGACAAAACACGATTGCTCTAATATGATTAGTTTGAATGAATAAAATTTTAAAARTCACTAGGAAAAACACAAAAGGAGTTATGCAATGTTCACAAACAGCAAAGATTATAAATAATATGAAAAATGTCTATAAAGTTTTAGAAATTGAGTAGTAATGATGCAATCACAAGAACCATAACAAATGGATGTCATCTCTAGTTCATTAGAAGATTAATGGGACATGGATTGAGACCTCTGAAACCATKAACCCCAAATAAATTTCTCCTCTTCTGAGTTGTTCTTGTCAGTTATTTTGGTCACAGCATTGAAAAGCTGACTAACACAAGACCAAAGAGTCTGTCTACTGGTGCTCTCTTGCAGTCCGGTCTCTCCATTTCCCAGACCCAGGCAACCTCTGGCCTGCTTTCTCTCTGTAGACTAGATTTCCCTTTCCTAGAGTTTCATAAGATTTCCCTTTCCTGGTTTCATATTAATGGAACCAGATTGTATGTGTTCTTTTTTATTTTAAATTCTCTTTCTTTACCTATTCAACWCCGTTTTCCCCCAACTCCCCTAAATCCCTGGCATCTATTGATCTTTGCATGGTCTCTATTGTCTTGTTTTCATAATGTCATATGGTGAAATCAAACATTATAAAGCCTTTCATGCCAACTTCTTTCACTCGGCAATATGCATTTTAATGTTTTTATTAAAGTATTAGAGTTATACATAATGTTGGGGTTTGTTTTGACATATTCGTACATGACTGGAATATAATTTGCTCCCCTGTGCTCTTTTGAGTTTGGCTTTACCACTCAACATATTCCTAAGATTTATTTTTGTGTGAGGTTTATTTGTGTGTATTCACGGTTTGCTATTTTTATTGCTAGACAATATTATATTCCATCAATAYAGCAAAAAATATTTATACATTTACCTATTGATAGATACGTAGTTTCCAATTTGGGAATAATACGAATACAGCTGCAAGTCTTTCTGTAAACATATATAATCTTTTCTCTTGTATAAATATATAGAAATGGAATTATATGTATGTTTCACTTATTAGAAGTTATGAAACTGTTTTCCAAAGAAATGGTATCATTTAATAGCCCCACCAGCAATGCCTAAGGGCTCCAGGAGCTTCATCTCCTCATCAACACTTGTATTGCTGTTGCTTTGATTTGAGCCATTCTAGTGTGTTCACAGCGGTATCTCACTGTGGTTCCAACTTGCATTTCTCAGATGACGAATGACATTGATTAATGATTAGCAAATCACTTATCTCCCCTATAGAATGTCTACTCAAAATTTTTACCCTTTTTATTGTATTGTTGATCTTATAATGAGTTCTTTATAAACTCTTTATGATGAGTTCTTGACATATTCTGGCTGTAAATATTTTGTCATACACATACAATAGAAATATATTCTCACA